AATTGGTTTTTTACTTTGAAAGAAAGCATTAAATTTGACAAAAAATTCTAGAGAGTACTTCAAAAAGTACAGATAAGCTATTGTGAAAGGATTTCCCAGCTGTGCGAAAATCCAGCCCGCTTGAGTTTCCTGTTTTTTGTCTTCAAATGCAGCAACAGTAAAAAAATGCTCTAGGATTCGTCGGATTGCAAGAAAACGCTCTACACACCCCTGGAGCACAAGCCACCTTGTGAAACTTAGTCTTTTCAGTTTTCCATATTTCTCATCATAAAACTCCTGAAACTCCTGGAGCTCCGCTTGTCGTTTCGGGCTGTTGGCTATGTAGTTTGTTGTCTCACTCAAAAGTTTCTTTATTTCTGGGGGTAATTTGGCACATGCTTTGGCAGAGACCAGGTGACACGAGTGGCAAATGCAGTTAAGCAGTACTAGCCATGGGCACAGGGCCTTTAAGTCTAGAATAAAATGAGTTATTAACTCCTATCATTACATTAGCATTATCACATGCTAATCCTATAATATTTGTTACAGGGATCTCATAGTATTTTATGAGATTTTCAAATGAACCAAAAATCTTCTCAGCTGAGCAGTCCTTAGGATCAAGTTCAATCATATGAAGGAGATCAGTTCTAATTAAATTTGTCTTGGGGTCTACATATTTCACAATTACACAAAAGTTTTTCTTGTGTGAAACATCAGGACTTTCATCTACCAATATGCTGAAGGGACAATTTTTAATGTTCTGGACTGTCTCTTCTATCTCAGTCTTTGCCACAACATTGGTCAAAACAGCTGTGCATTTTGTTCTGTCAAGGGTAACATCTTTTAGAATTGCAGAGTCAGGAGCAACCTTTTTGAAAACATCAACTACATTGTCCACAACATGGATGGGGATATTGTGCTCAGCAAAGATAGCAGCAATATCAATCTCTGCTTTTTTCACATTATTGTGGTGCTGTTGAGCTGGACCTGTATACAGGCTATAGCCTGGGCCTGGAAAGCAGTAGCAATACTTTTTGTGCCATGCAACTGCCTCACACATTTCTGATGCTCTAGTGTACCACCATGTCTATCAATTTCAGTTTTCCCTCCCTTGAGGCGCTTTCCACCACAGGCCCTACAGCAGAAGTATAAAGGGTCTCCCTTTGGGTCTTGCTGCAACCAGCCTTGGTACTGTGGCATACTAAGCCAAGAAGTTTGGAAGACTTTCTTCTTTTCACTCGAAGATGCATCATCTTTCTTTCTTTTTTTCTTCGGAGGAGTTTGGATACCATGGTCTCCATCTTCTAGGTCACTGTCAAAACTCAACTCATCTCTCTGTTGTCCAGACACTGTGAAACAAAGTAAACAGGGGATTGTTGAGGTTAGGGCCGAACATGTACAGCAGGCACAATAAAGGATATCCACCTTACAACATAATTGATATTCGTACGTACTTTTTCACAAGTGTTTCAAGAAGGACAATCACAGGTGTCAACGTATGTGCTTCATACAGCCTCTCAAAGCGCGCCGTATGGGGGTGTACAAACCGCCTTGTCGAAACGATGGGCGACGAGCTATCGATGCGGGAGTAAACATCCATGGCTGCCAACCCGTGCGTTTGTTTGGTTCCTTGTTCCACGCTCGACGCCCTTTCAATTCCTAATTTTGTAGAACATTGGGGTGCAATTTCTCTGTATTTCGGCCAAAACCGTCAAAAATCCCTCGAAATCCGGAATAATCCCTCAATCCCTCGAGATGGCTTAAAATCCCTCAATCTGGCAACACTGCTCGATTGGAACGGATATACTCACCGTACAGCGGACACAGAAAACTACGAACTTCACCACACTGACGTACCGGACGGACTTCACGACGCAACTGGTGAACTCTTCCAAAATACCGAAGTACATACAACGATAGTCGGCTGCACGTCTTAAATGACACACAACTAACGACGAAAATAACTCAAAGAACAAAGTACGACTAAATTAATTACTATTTGTATTTTACAACTTTATTCATTTGTATTTGAGTCTTTGTTGAAGCCGCACACACTCACAAACTTGCGAGGATGAGTAATAGCCCTGAGCTCAAGACCATGTCAAAGTGACAGGAAGGTACCAGTACAAGTTTTTCCGCAGAACTCGCGAAATATTTGATGCGACGGCAATATCTATGTTTAAAATTGGCAAATTAGGTGAATCTCTATAACATTTACCTGACAGAGAGTTATGTCAAAATATGTCAAGAACACACAAGTCTAAAGACGTTTGACATCAATTTCTCACATTCATGTAATTTTGATGTCAAAATGATGTTTTCCGTGCGACTGGGGTGTTCCAGGATGAATAAACAACAACCGTGTTCGATGCTGGCTGGCCAAACAAGAAGTAGCGAGAGAGTTTATTGGTTATCCACAGGCTGGAGCTGGTGTCGCAGACAAGTGAAAGCAGAAGTCAGTCTATTGGGTGGTGGATGTATATGGAGGATATATTTGAATATTTACATAGATAGAGATGAAAGCACTTACTTTTTACAACGAAAACAATGGTAAAAAGTCCAGCTCGAAGTCTGTTTGCACAACGATACAAGCTCAAAACTGCGCTTGTTATTTTTTTTTACTCATTAGGGAAGGGTGGGGTGAAGTCACGTTGCTTCGCCGTTCCATAGAGATCCTCCAATGGTCACGTGACTCTAGCACCGCCTTCCTGGGTCAGCAACAACTCCTATGAGAGCGAGTGTCAAAGAGTGGGAAATTATAAAAAGTTGGCCCTCATTAGGCACACTTCGCCTACTTTACGGACTGCTCATTTCATCACTGACGACAAAACTCACAGCTCCCAACGATTTTTGAGCATGACACTCCCCAAAAATATAAAAAGCTGACACTGTGTACCAAACAATGACACGGCGTCAGAGGTTATATTAGACCATTCTTTGCTGAAACCAGTTAAAAAAGCGTACGGATCCAATTTAATGGTTCAGAAAATGTTGTCGGCATATCTCTCTTTAACTGGGCCCTACGATCTATCGTTATATTTCGACTTTTTCAACATTTTCCCCGGACCCGCATTTGGAATCTCGCGCGGTTTGCAACTCAGTGAGCTTTGAGACGTCAGCATTGGAGGATCTCTATTCCTTTCTTATGTCTCAGGGGAAAATTTTAAAGGGCCGAAGCCCCCCCCACTCTCCCGGAGTCCTAAAATTTTCGATACAAATAAAGCGGGACACATAGGTCTGCTTACAACAATTTTTTGCAGACTCCGGCACGTAATTTACGCAAACATGTCGGTTTTCAATCAGTACGGTTCTGGTGCAGGTGCATAGCATTTACGTTTTGTTTGTAAAAAGTTCATTAAAAAAAAATATCGAGGGACATAAATTTGGAGGTGTGCAGTGCAGATGTGCACATCACTGGTCCAGGCCCTCGCCCAGGCTACGTTCCGTGGCATGATTATCATTTCACTGTTGCTGCGTTCCGCCTCTTCACGTTCACAAGCACCTGCAGGAAGCTGAACCAGGACTTCAATGCTTTCCCGCAGGCACGCCTGTTCAGAAGCCCGATGCCACTGCCGCGCACTTGCGCCCCGCGGCCGTCCGCGACGTGCATAAGGGCCAGGCGCAGCTTCTTGCATCGTTGGCTTTCCTGCAGAACGAAAAGATGTAGACATGTAACCACTCTAAACCGCGTGAGTTTGGAGTGACGCGCCGAGGCCAGCAGTGAAGGGTATGGTCCATGTGATTAAAATGCTTCTGTGCCCGAGGCTAAGTCTCCTACAGTGCCTCTCTGAGAGTCGCGCCGTATGATTCAGCGTCTCTCCGATTTCGCGGCTCCAATAAAGCATTCCGGTAAAGCTGAAATGCAGAAGAATGCGAGGAAGATGAAAACGGAAGTCACCATGCTAAAGCATCGCGATTTCCGTTTTCTTTTTCCCGCCGCATTCTTCTGCATTTCAGCTCTACCTAAATGCTTTTATAGGCCCTCCAACACCCGCCTCCTTGTGGTGGTAGACACCAACGTAACAGGCTTTGCGAAGCAGGGTTCTTAGAGTTAAAAATGAAATTTAACGCGTTACCTTTCGTTAATTTGAGATTTTAGATAACGTGAACGCGTTACGTTTCGTCGGTTGAGACCCCTTACTCGTTAGTACATTAGCTAGCGGAGTAAATAGGCTTATGCCATGATTGACACTCTACTTCAGCAGGTAACATTTACCCATCTGATGAGATTATTATCTAAGGCCATATTGGCTATTAGCTGGGACAGCTACCCCTTTTACAGGTAAATTTTCTGCCCTGTTTTCTTTGCCTACGGTCCACAATGGGGTCCAACACTCCAGCACTGACGGGATTCGTGCCTGCAAATTGCGTCGGCGCATACGCATAGGCTCTGTGGGCAACGCTCGCACCAGCGCGGGGCCGGCGCGGGCCAAGGTAGTACAGTAGGTAGTGCCAGTAGACCCCCCCCC